CTGGCCACATGACCCGGAAGCTGTACGCCGGCTCCCTTGGCCAGTAAAGTGAGATGAGCGCCGCGACCCCAGAGTCGGCCACGACTGGACCTAATGGTCAGGGGTCCCTTTACCTTTAAGATGAAGGTATTTTCCCCCCTTTGCTGGAGTAGGTGTTTCAATGCAGCCCCTTTTCTGTTTCAAGAAGAGATTTGCACTGAACCCTGCCAAACCCAGGAGGATTTAACCCCAAGCTCCTCAGCTCTTAAGTGGGGGTTAGATCCTGTTGTATTGGCTGCCCATGCCAACTAATGCAGGGGACCTGTGCGGCCAATGCAGAACTGAACCCCATTGCACTGTCCATAAATGGATATCACTGTGGATGCGGTTTGAGGGAAGTGGCCTCGCAGGCCAACTGGAACCCACTGGAAGGCCAAGATTGGCCTATGGGCTGAAGGTTCCCCACCACTGGTCAATAAGGATTGACACCAGCTCTCCAGAACTGGGGTCTCCTAGTGCTACCTCCCAGAGCTACTTGCCAGAAATTGAACCTGGGACCTTTTGCATGCAATCTCTTCTTCTTCTTCTTCTTCTTCTTCTTCTTCTTCTTCTTCTTCTTCTTCTTCTTCTTCTTCTTCTGTGATCACTCGTAGCTGAGTAAGATTGTCTTCCATAAATACGGTTTTAAAAATGAGTCCGTAAGCAACTGTGGAGCCCAATTCTGGATTCACACATCCTTCCACAGTGTTAACATAGGTTTGGGCAGGGAGGGGAGTTGATCATAATGAGGGTTTGTACGTTTCTCCCTTTCATCCTGAGTTCAAGTGTCTTCAAAGCCCATGACACCTTTGGTAAAGGTTGTTCTCCAACTGAAGCGCTTGCAGGCCAGTGTTTCCCAGTTGTCAGTGTTTATACTACATTTTTTAAGATTTGCCTTGAGAGAGTCTTTGAACCTCTTTTGTTGACCACCAGCATTACGCTTTCCATTTTTAAGTTTGGAATAGAGTAGTTGCTTTGGAAGACGATAATCAGGCATCCGCACAACACAACCGGCTTAACAAAGTCGATGTCAACATCAACTGATGTTGCTTCAACACTGGTGATCTTTGCTTCTTCCAGTACACTGGCATTAGTTCACCTGTCTTCCCAAGTGATGTGTGAAATCTTTTGGAGACACCGTTGATGGAATCTTTTGAGGAGTTGGAGATGGTGTTTATAAGTGGTCCATGTTTCACAATCATACAGTAAGTTTGGTCTATCACTGAGATGACTACCTAGCCATAATACAAAGGCTATTGTTCATACATCATTCACTCAACAGTGACAAGAATAACATCCATGTCTGAAAAACACAAGACACCTGAATTTTCCTGGAATTCAGGGGTAAAAGAACCAGAGCCTGGGAAGGATAGAGTTAAAAACCTCACTGGGTTTTTTCCTTCTTGTCTGTTTTTGTGGAATATAAGGAGCCTCAAAGCAACGTTTTCTTCCCGGCACAAAATTTTATGGACTTTGAACAAGTCTCCTCTTAATTGCCTTTTCACTTAAGTAAACAGTCCTGGTCATTTTAATCTTTCTTCATGCTTTATTTATAAGTCAGATTGATTCTCGGAATCCGGCGGGCCAGCTCACATGAGCCAGGGGGACAACTGCTCACAACCGCTTGTTGCTGAATGAAGGCTTCGTGTGTGCGAAGAAAGCTGCAAATCGGCAGTGCATCACTTTAAACATAGCACAGAAAGAGGATTCAGGAAAGGGTTAGAAAGTTAACAACCCTCGGGCCCCTGATGCTGTTGGCCAGGTGTGCTTTGGCCAAATATGCCTTCCCAAAACAATATTCTTCAAGGCATCAGTTTAAAGCTTGCCTCCTCTGTCTTCCCCAGGACATGGTTTGAAGGTAGATGAGGTCATCACCTTGCTCAAACTAGGCAGGTCTGGCTCTGATCTGTGCTTGGATGGGTGACTGCCTGGAAAATGAATGGATGCCATTCCTGGGTTCCATAACAGAAGGAGCAGAGGGTATAAATGTAAGAAAATAAAATAGTAAAACAAGCAGCCCTGAAGCAGATGCCTTAACAGACACACAAATAGCTCGATCGTGGAGATGCTTAACTCAGAAGCAAGTCCCATTGGGGTGAATAGGCTTCTAGATGCGCAGGGTGTTTGCATGCGTTGAAGCAAGGCGGTTGGGCGGTTGTTCGGTTTTTGCTTAAACCAATGGGAACATGCATTGGCCAGAATTAATAGTTAATCTGCCCCCCTGCAGTCATACTCCACTGATGTGAAGATGCAGAACAAAAAAAGCTTCCTTGGATTTGCAGGCTACTGAAGCAAAAGGACATTAGGTGAAAGATCTCAGGGCCATATTTCTCAGATGCCTTTTGCGTACCTGGGATAGGGCTTTGAAATAATGGCCATTTAGGATGTACAGGCAGATGCCTGAACTAGCCCCAGCTCGTATCGGCGAATTGCTGCTACCCATCGAAAGCCTACAATTATTCGCTGCTTCTCCTTGTTTAATAGCTGCTTGGTATGCTCAGAGCTGCGTTTGTTACATGGGTCTGTGATCGCACCACGCAAGTACAGGATTTTTTGCACCTCGAACCGAATCCAGCATCTCAAACGTGTCTGTCTTAATGTTTGGGTTGTGTGTGTGTTGTGGTTTTTTAAGAGCCTGTATGGATGAGGAGCTAAGCTTCAAAAGAAGAAAGCACTGGCTGCCTTGTGACATTTCAGAACATTTGAGTACAGGTTCAGCACCATATCGCTCTGCACTGCTCATGTAGCCAGCTGTTTCAGTAGGCGTTTTAAAGAAGTTTTTTCTGTTTTTCGGAATAATTTTAACCGGTGCTATTCTTGTAGAAAAAGAGATGCTTGGAACTCACCATGAACGCCTCCCTTGTTCTCTTATAATGGCAATGGCGCCCTCCTGAGAGGTGCCGGAACTGAGTTCCGGTGAGTTCTGACTGGGGGGGAAATCCCTGATTTTAACTACAGTGGACACTCGGGTTGCAAACATTATCCATGTGGGGTGCATGTTCACAACCCGCAGCATCCGCAACCCACAGCGGCGCTTCTGCGCATGCGCGACTGCCGAAACCCGGAAGTCACCCATTCCAGTACTTCCAGGTTTCGGCAGTCCACAACCTGAAAAAACACAACCTGAAGCGTCTGTAACCCGAGGTATGACTGTAGTGCCTTAGCCGTTATATGGATTGTGATAAGGATCTGGCCGGCTGGGCCAAAAAGGTTCTCCACCCCAGATGTAGACAATATTGAGCTTGATGGACCAGTGCTCTGACTTGCTATAAGGCATTTTCCTGTGTTCCATGTGGTGCTCCAGATGTTTCTAGACTACAACTCCCATCATCCTTAACAATTAGCCATGCTGGCTGGGGCTGATGGGAGCTGGAGTCTCAGTAGTATCCAGAGGACCAGAAAGGCTGCTCCTAACTCCCAACTCCCCATTGTATTGGAAAATAGAGGCACTCTGGTCAAGAGAAACGAGCTAAGGCAGCAATAACAGTTAAGCTGCTAATAGCTGCATTTCTGAACACCTAGCCTCCAGACCAGAGGCGAAGTAGCAGAAAAAGTTGTGGTTAAGCCAGATGTCAAAAGTTGAAGCTTGTAAGGGAAGTATATCCGCAGAAGAAACAAAAGGCCATCCAGACTACAAATAGAGCAAGGAAGTCCAAAGGGCTTAGCAGAGACAGAGAGATGTAGTGGAAATTCTCCCCAAATGCATAGTTTAAGGTTGCTCATCAAAGGTTATGGTTGGGCTATAGCTATTTCATAACGGTGGGACAAGCAAGGAGGGAATGAGGTATCAAGATGCTTATGGGAAACTATAAAAGCATACCCTCCAACATTTCTCCAGTGAAAATAGAGACACCCCCTCCTACATTTCTCCAATGAAAATAGGACTGTCCCAAGAAGAGAGGGACATTTTGGGATCAAATCAGAAACCAAGAATGCTTCTGTAAATCTGGGACTGTCCCAGGAAAATAGAGGCAATTGGAGGGTTTGTGATGGTAAAAAGGTAAAGGACCCCTGGATGGCTAAGTCCAGTCAAAGGCTACTATGGGGTTGAGGCACTCATCCCGCTTTCAGGCCGAGGGAGCCGGCATATGTCCACAGACAGCTTTCCAGGTCATGTGGCCAGCATGACTAAATCGCTTCTGGTGCAATGGGACACCATGAGCGAAACCAGAGCGCACCGAAACACCATTTACCTTCCCGCCACAGTGGTACCTATTTATCTACTTTTTTGAACTGCTAGGTTGGCAGGAGCTGGGACAGAGCAACGGGAGCTGAGCCTGTCACGGTTCGAATTACCAACCTTCTGAATGGCAAGCCCAAGAGGCTCAGTGGTTTGGACCACAGTGCCACCCGCATCCCTAGGGTTTGTGAAAGCATATTGTTTAACCTGTAATTGGGGTCTCTTGACCACACCGTGAGGTGGATGACGCACCATTCCTGTGCATGAATAAATTCTGTTTTCCTTTGTGAAATATACTCGGAGTCGAGAGTGGATTTCATGCTCGTTATTCAGCTCATAGTGGTGAGGAGGAATGAAAGTTCCCCCAAAATATCTGCTTTATATACATTATTTACACAATGGGCTGCACGTGATTGGCTAATTCCAGGATTCTCCTGTTGGCCAATCAGGTTGTGGATTCACTTCCACCTGGAGCTGGATTGGGTGGCTTCTGCGGGCCTATCATACTGCTGCTTTGTTCTAGGACCAATCAGACTGCTGCATTCTGAATCCTATTGTTCTAGGACCAATCAGACTGCTGCATTCTGAATCCTATTGTTCTAGGACCAATCAGACTGCTGCATTTTGGATCCTATTGTTCTAGGACCAATCAGACTGCTGCATTTTGGATCTTATTCAACTCAGTACATAACACTTTGCTACCCATGGCCTGGTAATTTGGTTTTGGCTGCGCGATGAACCTTCGTGGCAGAGTGCCATAACACTGCCAGCCCCTTGCTAACCTCTCTCTTCTCTCTCCCAGGTCCGGGCCAGTGCCATAGCTCAGGATGCTGACCAGAATTACGATTACGCCAGCAACAGCGTGATTCTACACCTGGACGTGGGCGACGAAGTTTTCATCAAGCTGGACGGAGGGAAGGTTCATGGAGGCAACACCAACAAGTACAGCACCTTCTCTGGCTTCATCATCTACCCAGACTGAGCCCCGCCGGCTCCTGTTTCCCCGCCTCCTTTTTTTTGCCTACCCAAACCCTTTCCCCGCTCTGGGTCAGCTTTTGTTCCCCCTTGGCTTTACCAACTCCCTGGACCCAGAAGGTCCTTCCAGCAAGGTCCGGCCAATAAGGACTGAAACAGAAACTTTGGGGGAGGAGGCCCTCCCCCTTGGGTTCATACGACTGTGAAAAGGGGTGGGAGGATTAAGGGATTTTTGGTGCATGGGGAAATCCGGGAGGGGGTGGATACAGGGGAGCATAATGTCATGGTGGGTGGGCCCTGGTCAATGGAAGCAAGGCCACGTCCAGGATCGGAGGATGAAGGGAAGGGCGACGGATGGGGAACAAGGCCCAGACTTGCTGCAGATTGGCTCTGTAAGTCCATTTCCTTAGCATCCCTTTAGATGTAAGGTACAAATATTCGAAGAGGGGTGGTTTCATTAGTGCAGTCCGGTCCCTTCATCAGCTTTTCACAGGAAATGTTTTATTGATTGCATTTATATCTCACCCTTCTTCCAGTGAGCTCAGGACAGGCTTATATGATTCTCCCTTCCCTCATTTTGCCCTCACAACAACCTTGCGAGGGACTAGGCCCAGAGACAGTCCCACAGTCCACCCAGCGAGCTCCGTGGTCAAGTGGGAATTTGAACTTGGGTTTCTCCTATCTTGATCCAAACACTCTATTACACCCGCTGCTGACTCAAGATGCCTCATATATATATATATTAATTGGTCAATTATGGAGGTGGGATTCATTATCTGTATAAATCATAATGTATCCAACAGGAAGGGGGGGAGAGAATGGGGAGGTCTTCTGCGGGAACAGGGGGCAGTACAGTTGGGTTTAATTTCCCCATTCTCCATAGCAGTGTTCCCCCAACATGCCAGCAAGACCATGAACATATACAGAGGGAGATACATCTTTTGCTCTGGTGACGTTGCATGCCAGCAGCAAGAAAGGGTTAGGCTTTTTGTTTAAGCGTGTGTTGTGCAAGGTTCACTGTTTTAAGCCTGCTCCGTTTAAGAGACAGAACCATCCGAATAAAATCTCCAGTCCCCTTCTATATCAAACAGGTGCCCTGGAGACTCTTGTACGAATGGGGAAGGGGGTCGAGCCCCGATTCCTCCTACCTTTGTACATTAACCCACGGGTCTGTCTGGGCAGCTGCCAATAGGACGATCTTTTGTTGACCTGCATGAAGATATATAGGTATTATCCATGTTTCAGACCTCAAGCTGGGACAAATGGGGGGTCTCTGCACCTTTGTGTGTAAATATCTCACCGCAGCCACCCTGAACTGGGGACGACGGCGACTGCGGCAGTCTGTGTCATCATAAAACTTTGTGCTGCAAATGATGATTCCCACATGCCCACCGCAACAGTGCAGGGACATGCTGAAATGATTGGGAGCATGTCCCAGAGACAGTTCCTGGCTCAACATTGCTACCAGAGGCTATTAAGGGGTTTGATGGGTGGCAGGGTGTGTTGTGTGCCAAAAGACCACCGCAGACACCCCCAGATGCATAAACCACTACAAGATAGGTGACCAGAATATATTGCATTTTCCCATTCATGACCTGCCGTTGCAACACCTGTCACGTAAAACCATGCCTCCCCGCAAGATTGTACACCGCTAAAACATGCATTGTCGTAATCAGATTTTGAGTGTGTGCTATTCACCCAGAAAATTCACCCACACTCTCAATAGTGCAGCAGCGCTGCAAGCAAATTGCAGTGCCTGACTTCGCCCTGCTTTCAAAACTCTCTGGATCGCGCTCCAAGTGCATCGGTGTGAACACAACAGATACCGTATCAAACAGCCATACGATCTGACAGGGCCAACTCCGCCACACATACGCAGAGTGAAGTGACCTGATTCATTTGGCACCATGAAGGTCAGGGGTGCAGGGAGATGGATGCAAGAACGGGCGTCCAAATTGTTTGTGGGAGAACACCACTGTTTTGACTCTCAGAGAGCTCTGCAACCTAACTTCCGCAGAGCTTAATCTATTAAAAAATAAACATCGCCACCAACCCAAAATGAATGCAACCACATCTTTTCTCCAAAACATGCCCACTTGTGCATGCCTGATCCCTCAGCTTGCACACATGATTTTAAATATTTTTTTTTAATATGGTGGAACCTCGGTTTTCAAATGTAATCTGTTCCTGAAGACTGTTCAACTTCCAAAACGTTCGAAAACCGAAGCATGCATTTCCGGAAGCAATTACATCCAGAAAACTCAATAAGGAAACTGTGTAGCACGTTCGGCTTCCGAAAAGCATTTGAAAACAGAAGCATTTGCTTCTGGGTTTTCAGCGTTCGAAAGTCGAAACGTTCGACTTCCGAGACACTCGAAAACTGAGATACCACTGTACAAATTTACTACCTGCCCTTCTGATGCCTACACACCATTCAGGGTGGCAATTCAAATCAACCATGAAATTACGTTTAAAACACACACACACACACCCCACATCTTTTCTCCAACACATTCCCATTTGTGCATGCCTAATCCCTCAACTTGCACACACACTTTTAAATATTTTTTTAAAAATATAAATTTACTTCCTGAACTTCTGGTGCCCACGCATCACTCAGGGTGGCAATTCAAATCAACCATAAAATAACATTTCAAAACACACACACTATATATATATAACAAAAGGAGATAGAAGATTAAAACAAAAATCACTGCATTAAAATATATGCATCCAAATCAGACTTAAAGGTCTTGCCTTTCTCATGCGTCCGGGTTCAGATGAGGAAGGAAGACAGGCAGACAGATGACACGAGCTCCCTCTGTAGGTTTGCCTAGCAACAGGTCCCATCTCCTAAAGACAAAAGAAGAACCTTTCTATTCTGCCCACCTTATGTAGCTCTGCAAACTTCTTTTCCATGTACATGAACATTTGCACATGTAATTGTGCTCGGGCATTGAGAGGCGCACCAATGCCTTTTGACCTCTTATGTGTACATGCATTTGCTGGCCTGTACATCTATTGGGATTGCCAAATTAAGCTCTAGTCTCTGGCATCCCCAGCTCTACCATTAACATCCACACGAATGCCAGAATGGATGTAAGTTTACATGTGCAAGGTTTGGAGCCAGGAGACAGAAAGAGAGAAGAATTCTCAGAGCCAACGTCAGGTCAGGCCAGAATCTTGTATGTATCATTCAAATTTCGTATTCCTGAAATAAATAACCAGTGGCTTCTCCGATATTTTTCCAGCCCTATTAAATACGCAGAGGTGTGCCTGCATGTATTGGTGCTCACAGATGCCTGCCATCTCTGCACGCCATTGTCTGCATTTGTGTGTGTGTGCACATTTGAATTTGAGGGTGCACAGATCTCAGTTGAAAGCTTGGGGTGAAACAGAGGAGAATCTGTGAAACCGAGACCGTATGTGAACCTCCACAAATTGCACAACAAAACATACACGTGGTAAAAGAAAGCAACAACCATGTGCGCAAATTTACTTGTGCACAACCGTGTACATTATTATTTATAGCACCTAAAATGTATATAAAATTATAACTTACAAATATATATATATACACACACACAAACATGTGAGTGCGCATGTATTAGTGCGCAAACATGCCGTGCATGATTTATCTGTACATTTATATTACCGAAATTCATATCCCCTCCTCAGCTATTAAACCCCATCCTGCTTCTGTCTCTCCCCCCCCCCCCCCGGCCGCCGCCTCTTTCATTCCTCGTCCTTCCAGGGACAGAAAAAGAAATCCTCAGCTTCTGTTGCTGGTGGCTGCAGGCCGGACCCCCGGTCTGCAGCCTTGCTATTTTGCACAGTCCCCCCACTGCATGTGTGCCCTTTCATTAGCAATTTTTCAAATCCGTGGAGGGATCTGGACAGTGCCTCGTACATACTATAGACAGAAACCTGCCAGAGAGGCCCCAGGGCATGGCTGTGAACTCAGCAATCGGGATGGTTTTGCTGCCAGGAAGGTGAATGCCTCTGGGACCACTCAACTCTGTGTCTTTAAATGATCAGAATCTGTGTTTTATCTGTTAATAAAGATACTCTGGTTTTTGACGCACATCTTGCCTTTGCTGCTGTCCGTTCAGGGAACAATCGCATTAGCTGCATGCAAATATTTACATTTACCAAGTTCTAAAGCGTTCATTTACATGCACATACACAGTCCCAGAAGCATTTGCATGCATACAGATGTATATCTACATGAGCAAAACCCTATGTAGAACGCGCGCACACACACACACACACCTGCACACATTTGTGTTTTTCCCCCCTCCAGGCTACAGAATGCTCTTTTTTTAACAAACCTCTTTCTTCAGCCTATTTACACGACCACAGAACTCTCAAATACAGGATTTTATTACTGGGTTTGGAATTCAGTTCCTGGATCTCTTTCACACACAAAAACCACACACGCAAGTTTGCTGCTATGCGTTTAAAGAGTGATATCAACATAAAATAAATGCCTTTGAGTCTCTTCCCCCTTCAAAGCGGATGTGTACAAGTACACATATTTCTTATTACCTGCCTCAACAATCCACACACACCGGGACTTCCTCTCTACATGTATGATCTAAAGAAGCAGAACGAAGTGGCAGAGGGGACCATACCGCTTCAAACTGTAGCTGGCGGTGGGGGAATGAGGGATTTAAATGCTCCCTCGTGTTTAAACAAAACCTGGGTCAGAGATAGGGACCCGGCACAGCAGGGAGACGAGCTGTACCCCAGCCCTCTCCACCGAGAGATTTGTGTTTGTGTGTGATGGAGAGGTGCACTTAAAACTGCTTTCTCCCTCCTGCACTCTTGTTTCCTTCTGCTTGTTATTCCAGATATGTGGGGCCTAGGGACGGGGGTGGCGCTGTGGTCTAAACCACTGAGCCTCTTGGACTTGCAGATCAGAAGGTCGGCGGTTCGAATCCCCATGACGGAGTGAGCTCCCGTTGCTCTGTCACAACTCCTGCCAACTTAGCAGTTTGAAAGCACACCAGTGCAAGTAGATAAATAGGTACCGCTGTGGCGGGAAGGTAAACAGCATTTCTGTGCGTTCTGGTTTCCATCACAGCGTCCCGTTGCGCCAGAAGTGGTTTAGTCATGCTGGCCACATGACCCAGAAAGCTGTCTGTGGACAAGCGCCAGCTCCTGAAAGTGAGATGAGCAGCGCAACCCCATAATCGCCTTTGACTGGACTTAACTGTCCAGGGTTTACCTTTACCTTTTTACATGGGGGTTCAAGTGTTCGGGGCACCAAGAAGAAGGGAAAGACAAAATTCAGTCTCAGATTCCAGCAGGGCAGCTGTGTTGAAGCAGGGGTGGCTAACCTATGGCCTTCCAAATGTAACTGAACTACAACTTCCATCATCCCTGACCATTCCGGCTGGGGCTGATGGAAGCTGCAGTTCAGCAAAATCTGTAGGAGAACATTTTGGTCACTGCCATATGTCCAGGATTTCAAAGGCGGAATTGGAAATTCTGTTTTCTCCCTAAGCATATGGCACTTACAGGGAAATCTGGTACTCTCTAGATGTTGCTGGACTCCAACTTCCATCAGCCCTAGGCAGCATGGTGAGCAATGATGGGAGTTGTAGTCTGATAGGGCTGCCAAAAGTCTGGATTTTCCTGGACGTTACTGGGATTTCAAAGGCGGAATTAACATCTGGGGGAATTTCTAAAAGGCACCGCATTGTCCTGGATCTTAGGCAAGTCAACCCAAAATCACGGTTCTTTGGCATTTTTGTAAAAAAGAAAAGAAAAAAATGCTCAGCAACTCTGGGGTTTGTCTTCAAAAAGCTCAAGCACTTTCAGCTGTTACTTTTTGAAATATGGCAATCCCTGTCTTAAGGAAAACATATTGTGGCCTGGATTTGAATGGGCCAGTGCCCATTTTGTCAGATGCATAAAGTGGTCCCCTATGCACGGAGGTGCATGTGTTCATTGAGAAGGTATGAATCAATGGCGTAAAGCATGTAGGTTGCAGTCAATCCCTGGAAAAGCCCCCCCCCCCCCGGCTTTCTCTCAGTTCCTTCCTGGCTCATATCATTACATCACCCTACCCTGTATTAACAAATGCCCCTGGGTATGCTTCGCATCCTCAGCTGACATCTTCTCATGACAGAGAGTGCATCCCCTGAGCTTTCCCCTGAATTTCATCCACAGTTGCTCTCCTCTCTCCCTTCGCTTCCCCCCACAAAAACCCCCTCCATTCACCTCGCCTAGGAGCTATCAATATTGCTAAAAGGAATTCATGCGAGTGGCTTTGTGCTGAGGGCCAGTACAAATGCGCATATCTTCCCACCCATCGCCAGAGGCGACAGGAAGACTGGACATATAACGCACAAGACCTGCCCTGGGTGGGGTTGGAGCTCACACATTTGATTCCTGAAGGAGCGTCTCCACCCCCATCGTTCAGCCCAGACACTGAGATACAGCTCTGAGGGCCTTCTGGCGGTTCCCTCATTGCGAGAAGTGAGGTTACAGGGAACCAGGCAGAGGGCCTTCTCGGTAGCCCGCCCTGTGGAACGCCCTCCCTTCAGATGTGAAGGAAATAAGCAGCTATCCTATCTTTAAAAGACATCTGAAGGCAGCCCTGTTTAGGGAAGTTTTTAATATTTAATGGTGCACAGTGGTACCTCGGTTTAAGTACTTAATTCGTTCTGGAGGTCTGCTCTTAACCTGAAACTGTTCTTAACCTGAAGCACCACTTTAGCTAATGGGGCCTCCTGCTGCCGCCGCACCGCCAGAGCACGATTTCTGTTCTCATCCTGAAGCAAAGTTCTTAACCTGAAGCACTATTTTTGGGTTAGTGGAGTCTGTAACCTGAAGCGTATGTAACCTGAGGTACCACTGTATTGTTTTTAACACTCGAATGGGAGCTGCCCAGAGTGGCTGCCCAGATGGGCGGGGTATAAATAATAAATTATTATTATTATTATTATTATTATTATTATTATTATTATTATTATTATTCTGCATGGATCGCATGAGCTGGACCATGCGTACTTCAACACGTCAAGGTGCATACTCCAAGCAACGTCTGCTCCCACATTTCTGGCATCAGAGCACTGCAAATGCACGTGGCGTTATTCGCACGCCTGGTGATGGAACTTTTGTTCTTTTTTTTGCGCACGCAGTTGTGTGCGGCATGCCGGCACTTGCGCTCGCATGTTGCAGCGACGGCGCTGAGACTCCTTCCGCTCTCACTGCTGCGCCGTTTCCTACGTGTGGCCGGAGCCATGTGCGGGAAGGCATCTGCGCCCAGCGGATGTGGCTCTTCCCTGGACCCATCTGTGTGAAGTCCGTTCTCCCCCTCCCCGCATCCCACCCACCCCCCATGCTCCATATCTGTTGCAACCAATGGCTCTTTGGCGCTGCTCCACGCTGGCCCCTGTCACCAGGCTGACAGCTGATGAGAGGCGCTTTTGCCGTAATGAGCTCCCCAGCCCTGCTGAGGTGGGAAACTGGGGATTTAAAACTTCCTGACGGATCAGATTGGTGAAACGGCAGCGATGAGAAGGAGCCAAGGGCCAGGGAATCATGTGGTGCCTTCTGGGACGAATAATTCAGCAGAACTCATCAATACGGGGGGAAGCAGGGGGAGGAGTAGGAGAGAGAATTCCCTCCAGTCCTGACCTATACCCCCCTCCCCACTCATCACATCATCTTGCCTCCGCCCCGCTACTAGCTGATTCTCATCTCATGGCCAGAATTTGCAATAGGCAAACCACCCGCCGAGGAAAGAGGGAGCTGCAATGACAAGAGGCTGCAGAAGTGAAAGATGGACTTTCAGGAGCATTTGGGCATGCAGAAGCTGTCCTTCCAGGTTATATGGACAGGTCATATGGAGGACCGAAAAAGGTGTTGTAAGGGGGGGGGAACTGCTCCTTTTCCCTTATAGAGTCCTTGAGTGGGTTCCCTATAGGAGAAAATAACAGAGGCCAACCAGAGTATATTGAGAAGCAAAGTAGCTAGTACGCCCGATACTACAGAAGAGCAATCCTGAAGCCATTTTGACTCTCCCAAATTGACCTCAGATAGTTCTCTGCAAGGAGTAAGGAAATGGGAAAGCCTCCCCATTGTCTTTTGCTTACAAATCCTGTCTTAAGGGCGTATTTGTGTACGAATAGGGTGAGCCTGTGACCTGGACTCAGGAACGAAAGTATTAACCATCACAAAAGAATGGCCAGGCTGCCCAGCTAATGCAATTGGTGACCATTATCAGGTATCCTGGCAGGCAGGATTTCTGCTGTAGGCCGCCTCCTTCTGTGATGTATGTATGATGTTTCAGGGGGGTGGTCTTGGGCTACAGGGCAGGCAATTTCAAAAGTCTATATAAGAGCTTGCACACCATTGTTGTGGGTTCCTCCTCCCTCCTGCGTGTGGTGAGTAGGGACCCTGTTGCAACAGTTTAATAAAGATCAGGCTTACTAGCCGCTTTGCTTCTCAATATACTCTGGCTGGCCTCTGTTATTTTCTCCTACTGTTAGGGAACCTACTTAAGGACTCTATACGGGCTCTTGGATACCCCATAAGGGAAAAGGAGCAGTTTGTTGTTTTTTTCTTATGACACTGGCAGTGACATGAGTTTACAAGCAGTGACAAGAGTGGACACATAAATACACACATTTATGCCACGAGCAGCAATATCTAATTCATACCACTTTCAGCTATCTGGGGGTGGAAATATCGATCATATGAAACTGCTGTATATGCTATCAGACAATCCGTCCTTCCATAGCAAATGGTTTTCTGGGCCTTTCTGAGTTTTGTTTTACTGGAAATTCAGAAGGTCTCAGGTTCATCGCTGATGCCCTTCCAATCGCCTGTCTTCAGCCTAATAACCTACAGATAATAGCTTGTAGGGGTTTTACAACATATCAACAAGCGCTGTACACCATGCATGCTTACCACAGACCAGTCTCATAAAAATGGTGTGTCCACCCCCCCCCCCTTTTGATGGCAGTTGCCAAGGTCAAGGAATATACAGCCGTAACGGGAGAAGATGCCTTAACTCCAACATGTCTGGTCTGAGGAGTACATTAGCAATAAAAGGAAAGAATACAGCAC